GGGAGAGCAGGGAGCCGTGGGGAGGGGGCGCGTCCTGGGCACTATGGGGGCGCAGCGGGAAGAGGGGCCGCGGCGGCTGTCGGGGGACACGGGGGGGGAGATGATGGAGACCCTGGCAGGTGGGGAGGTCCCTGGGGGCCGGGGGCGGGGGGGAAGGACCCCGTCCTGCGCGCACATCTTCCCCCCCGCCCCAGCCGCATCCCGGACTCCTGGGTCCCTTCCCGCGCGGCAGCAGCCGCCGCGGGGGCTCCCCCGGGACGGCGGCTCCGGCCCCCTCCCTGCCTCGGTTTCCCCTCGCGGGGCCCGGGTTGCACCGTGACACCCCCCACCCTGGCTCCAATCCCCCCCAGGGCCTCTGAAAGGCGGGAGCTGCCTGGGAAAGGCCTCCCCCACCCCACAACAGGCACCCACAGCTCTCCCCCGCACCCAGGGGTGCCCTGGGGTGGCCCCGTGTGCCTGGGGGTGCCAGGGGGGCGGTGGGTCGGTGCGGGCTCCTCCGGGGGCTGCCCCCCTCCGCGGCCGYGCTCCCTGCGGCCGCTCCGACCCAGATTCCTGCCGCAGGGACCTGGGAAAGTGGCCGCAGGCGCCGTGGTCCCCGCGSCAGGGCCGTGCGCGGTGACACCCGCCGGGACGCCCTCATGGGGACAAGGGGGTACGCGTGACAGGGGTGTCCGTGCCTCAGTTTCCCCGCGCGTGCCGCAGGTGCCTCCTGGACAAGGACACGTTCTCCAAGTCGGACCCGCGTGAGTGGCCGGGGGGCCGGGGGGCCCCGCCGTGGCCCCGGCCCCGCTCACCTGCCTCTCGCCCCCCAGTCTGCGTCCTCTACACCCAGGGCGCTGAGAGCAAGCAGTGGCGCGAGGTGAGTGCCCCGCCAGCAGCCAATCAGTGCATTGGGGTGCTGACYGGCTGGCCAATCAGCAGGCTGGGGAGCTGACTAGCCAGCCAATCAGCAGATTGGGGTGCTGACCAGCCAATCAGCTCATTAGGGTGCCATTCGGACAGCCAATCAGCGTGCTGGGGGGCTGTCTGGCCAATCAGCAGGTTGGGTTGCTGGCCAGCCAATCAGCACATTAGGGTGCCAATCATATGGTCAATAAGCATGTTGGAGCGCTGACCAGCCAATCGGCAAGTTGGGGTGCCAATCGACCAATCAGCTCACTAGGATGTCAGCCAGCCAATCAGCATGTTGGGGTGTCAACTGGACAGCCAGTCAGCACACTGGGGTGCCAGCTGGCCAATCAGCATGTTGGGGTGCTGATCGGCCAGCCAATCAGCATGCTGGACAACTGGGCAACTAATCTCCTGGGGTGCAGCCGGGTAGCCAATCAGAATATTGGGGTGCTGGGGGCTTGGCCAATCAGCATGTTGGGGTACTGGGCAGCCAGCCAATCAGCCCTTTTTGAAGTGCTAGCGGGCCAATGGGCTCACTGGGGAGCAGCTGGCCAATGGGGTGACACATCAGGATGCAGGACAGCTGGCCAATGAGGACATTGGGGTGCAGCAGACTGACCAATCAACACGTTGGGGTGCTGGCCAGMCAGCCAATCAGCAGCCAGCCAGCCACGCAGCTGGGCCGGGCAGGGGGCTGGCGCGGAGGCCACCAGCCCACTAATTAGCAGCCACTTAATTAGCAGGTTCCKGGGGCCTAATCAGTGGGTGGGAGCCAGGGGGAGGGGGACGGGGACTGGGGACAAAGGGGCACCTGGGCCCCGCGCCCAGCCCTCCCCTATGTCCCCCTGTGTCCCCTGCTGCCACCTGTGTCCCCTCCAGCCCCTCGTCCCCTCCGGCTGCTGTGTCGCTGCCAGCTCCTAGAGCCGCCCTCCGCGTGTGTCCCCTTGTGTCCCCTCCAGGCGCCCCTGTCCCCTCCCTCGGTCCCCATCCCTCCGGCTGCCTCCTCCAGCCGAGAACCCCTCCCTGCCTCCTCCGTCTCCCTCTCCCTCCCTCTGGCCCTAAATAGCTCACGGTCCCCGTCCCTCTGCCCCCAGACATGTCCCCTCCCATGTCCCTCATGTTTGGGACATGATGTTTGGGTTCCCTGTCCCCAGCTGTGTCCCTTGGGCCACAGCCAGCTCCCTTTGGGCCACCCCTCCATCCCCACACCGCTCCTCGCACCCCCCGTGCCCCCACATCCCTCCCTCCTCGATGCCGCCCGCCGGCTCCCGCTCACAGCCGCGTCCCCGCAGTTCGGCCGGACCGAGGTCATCGACAACACCCTGAACCCCGACTTCGTGCGCAAGTTCATCCTCGACTACTTCTTCGAGGAGAAGCAGAACCTGCGCTTCGACCTGTGAGTGCCAGCGGGCTGCCTGCCCGCCCGGCCCAGCCCTGGCCCTGCTTCTGTCCCCGCTGCCACCCCTGTCCCCAGCTCCGCCTTGGTCCCCATCCCCGTCACCTCCAGGTGCCCCTCTCCATCCTCATCCCTGTCTCCGTGGCTGTTCTCATCCCCCTCCTGCCTCCATCCTGTCTAGGTCCCCATCTCTGTCGCTGTCCCCAGCCACGCTCCTGCCCTTACCCCTGTCCCTGTCCTGTTCCCCTCCCCATCCCCATCCCCGTCCCTATCCTGTTCCCATCCCCATCCCAATGCTGTCCCATCTCCCTTCCTGTCCCATTCCCCCCTTGTCCCATTTTCAGTCCCACCCCTGTCTCATCCATGTCCCCATCACAGTCTGGTCCCGTCATCATCTCTGTCCCTGTCCCCATCCTTGCACCAGCCCCATCCCTGTCCCCTCCTCCCTCTCCCATGCCCTCCCAGCTCAATCCCGGTGCCAGCCGCAGTGCCCACTGTCCCCGCAGGTACGATGTGGACTCCAGGAGCCCGGACCTCTCCAAGCACGTGAGTGCTGCGGGCAGGGGCCGGGCGCGGCGGTGCCCGCGCGGTGCCGCTGAGGCCGTGTCCCCGCAGGACTTCCTGGGCCAGGCCTTCTGCACGCTGGGCGAGATCGTGGGCTCGGCCGGCAGCCGCCTCGAGAAGCCCCTGACGTGAGTGCGGGACGGGGACGGGGACGGGGACGAGCCGCGGCTCTTCGCCCCGTGCCCCGGCGCGTGGCGGGGCCGGCGCTGGGCACAGCGCCCTGGCCCCGTGCCGCGGCGCCCGCTCCTTATCTCGGGCGTCCGGGACGCAGAGCAGAGCCCAGCGCCGACATCCCGGCTCCGGCGTCACCAGCACCTCCGGCACCGGCGTCACTGGGTGGGGGGGGTGTCCCTTTGTTTGTCCTGGTTGGGGACAGCGGGGTGCCATGGGGGGGGGGGTCCGTCGCCCCGGCTCTGCCTCCGTTTCCCCACGTGTCCCTCTGTGCCCGGCAGGATGGGCACGGCCCCCGCGCACGCGCGGGGCAGGAAGGCTGCGCCCGCCCTCTCCAACGGGTGAGTCCCGAGGGTCCCCGCGATGGCCGGCATTGCGGGGGGGCACACGTGCCCACCCGGGACCCGCCGCCTCCCTCGGCAGGGGCGTCCTCGGGAAGAAGTGCGGCACCATCATCCTCCTGGCCGAGGAGCTGGGCAACTGCCGGGTGAGTGGCAGGGCACAGGTCTGGGGACCCCCGCTGCGGCCCCCCCCCACGCCCCGAGGGGCCTTCCTCTGCATGAGGAGGGTGAGGGTCAGCCCTGGCCGGGGCCCTCACCCCGTGCCCGGGCCCCAGGACGTGGCCACGCTGCAGTTCTGCGCCAACAAGCTCGACAAGAAGGATTTCTTCGGCAAGTCCGACCCCTTCATGGTCTTCTACCGGAGCAACGAAGACGGGACGTGAGCCACTCGCTGCCGTGGGGCTCCCGGCAGGGCTGGGGGTGCCCTGCGGAGGGACCAYGCTGGCGCGGTCCCCAAAAGTCCCCTTCCCACCGTGGCGGCGCCCCAAACCGGGGTGGAGGCCGGGCAGCCCTCCCACAGCACGTCTATCCGTTGGGTGCATCTCCATCCCGCTTGCCGGGAGGCAGCTCCGCGGGGGGAGGACGGGGGTGTTTTCCCTTTGGAGGTGACCCCCCCRCACACCCACTGCCCCCTCTGTCCCGGCAGCTTCACCATCTGCCACAAGACGGAGGTGGTGAGGAACACGCTGAACCCCGTGTGGCAGGCGTTCGCCATCCCCGTGCGCGCCCTCTGCAACGGCGACTACGACCGGTGAGGCCCCGTCCTCCGCGACCGGGGGGGCCCCCCGGCACCCCCTGCCCCCCGGCCTTGCGGTCGACACCGCTGCTGCCTCTGCAAGGTCCTCCTGGCTCCGCGCGGGGCTGCTCTGCACCCTCTGCCCTTAGTCTTTGTGCTCTGTGACGGCTGAGTGACCACGGTGCCATGGTCCTCCCCACCCAATGGGGACCACTCTGCACCCTCTGCCTTTAGCCTTCGTGTTCTCCATCTGGGAAGTCTCCCATGGTCCTTCCAAACGGGGCCACCCTACAACCGCTTCCTTTAGTCTTTGTGGTTAACGACTAGTGAGGCCCCCGTGGTGCTTGGGTTCTCCTTGCCCAATGGAGGCTGCTCTGTACCTTCTACCCTTAGTCTTTGTGGTCTGCAATGGGAGAGGGCCCCATGGTCCTCCTCACCGCATGGTCCTCCTCACCGCATGGTCCTCCTCACCCCATGGTCCTCCTCACCCCATGGTCCTCCTCTCCCCATGGTCCTCCTTGCCCAATGGAGGCTGCTCTGTACCTTCTACCCTTAGTCTTTGTGGTCTGCAATGGGAGAGGGCCACATGGTCCTCCTCGCCCCATGGTCCTCCTCGCCCCATGGTCCTCCTCACCCCATTGTCCTCCTCGCCCCATGGTCCTCCTCACCGCATGGTCCTCCTCACCCCATTGTCCTCCTCACCCAATGGTCCTCCTCACCCCCTGGTCCTCCTTGCCCAATGGAGACTGCTCTGCACCCTCTGCCCTTAGTCTTTGTGGTCTCCCCGTACTGAGGCGCAGATGCGGGACCCACTCGGTGCCTCAGTTTACCCATCCAAGCTCCGGGTCTCTTTGCCCATGAGGGTCCATCAGAAGGGTCCCTGTCGGCCGTGGTGTCGCCGCCGGGGACTCGGCCGCCCCCGTGGCCCCGGGAAGGGGTTGGTGGCTCCGCGGTGGCTCCGCGGTGGCGAACAAAAGGCTGCGGTGGCTCCGTGGCGCCGCCGTCGCCGGCTTGGCCCCGTGTCGGACGTTGCTGTGGCAACCGCGGATAAAAATATCCCACCGAAAAACCTGGCCAGGGGAGAGGAGGAGGAGGAGGAGGAGGAAGACGGGAAAAGGCCCACGGAGGTGTCAAAACAACCTGGTGGGGAGCGGCGCCGGGGCCGCCCCGGGACGGGACGGGGGGACCCGGCCGGTGCTGCCGCTCTGGGGGGGG